CTGAGGCGGAAGAATCGCTTGAACCCGGGAGGCAGAGGTTGCAGTGAGTGAAGATTGCGCCACTGCACTCCAGCCTGGTGACAGAGCAAAACTCCATCTCAAAAAATAATAATAATAATACAAATAATAATAATAATGTTAAGGTCAGACGCCTTCTACCACCTAAAACGATAAGACCCCAACAGAGAAGTGGAGGCTGAAAGGGCTCTGGAGTTTGAACGTTAGAGGGAGGAAACCAGGCGAGTCACAGAAGCGCTGCCTTTGCATTCAGTTTCTGTCCCAGGAAGTCTCCCAGCCCAGATCCCGACTCAGGCTGCCCAGGAGCACAACTAAAGCCGCCCAACCGGAGAAGCCAGAGCCCCATGGCCCGACGCCGCCAGCTCCAGGAGCAGGACAAGCGCGCACGAGACGTGCGGCCAGGCTGGAAGCCTCGCTGCCTCCCCCTCCCGTTCGCAGGGACCCAGGGCCCAGAGCCAGCCCGGGTTCCCTAGCGCTCGCCGCGTCCTGACCCCGCCCCCAGCGAGCACGTTTCCAAAAACTGACACAAGTCGAGCGCGCGCGCGGGAGTCGCAGCGCGCGCGGGGATGCCCGGGCGGGCCCCGCAGGCGCGCCCCCCAAAACACGAGACCCGGACACGCTGGCCGACATCGCCTGCTTCACTTTTCGCCTAAAAGGGACCCGCAGCGTGGCCAGAGGGTCCCAAGCGCAGACGCCCGCGCCCCGCCTCCCCAGGGACCACGCCGGGACGCGCACCCCGGGAGCCGCACGCGGGTTTCTGGAGCCACCGGGGGAGGGGGGAGGGTGCCTCTGTAACATTCCACCCAGCCTGTCATTTTCCAACGGTCACCAAGATGAAGGAGACAAAATTACCTAACTCCCGGGGTCAGCCCAGTCCTGCCCACTTACGATTGGGGGACAGAAAAAACTCCCAATTTCCAGGGGTCAAGCCAGTCCCACCCACTACGATTCAAAAGTCAGATTCCCAATTTCCCAGGGCCAAGGCAGCCCACACCCGATCAAGACGACGGGGGCAAAAATTCCCAATTTCCAAAGGTCAGACCGCTCCCGCCCACTCAAGGGGGACGGCATTTCCCACCTTCTCAGGGTCGGGCCCGCCGTGCCCGGGTAAGAAGAGTGGAGCAAACGCCTAATTGTAAAAAGTGGAGCGAGGACAGGAAAGGGTGCCCTCAAAAAGCGAAATCAGGCGGCGGGGCACACTGACAGCGCCGGGAACGAGCCGGGCGGCCGGGCTTCCCGTCAAAACGCGCCTGGCACGAGAAACCCCTCCCGTTCGGCGCCCGGGACAGCCCGGCGGGGGCAACAGCAGCGCGGCCGGGCTCGGGGGGCGCCGGCTCCTGCTCCCACGCCGGGCACCAGCGGCTCCCGCCCTGCGGGAAACGGTCGCCAGGCCCTCGGCGGGGAAGCCACGGTGGTCCCGGGCAGCGACAGTCCGGGAGCTCTGTTCCGCAGGGAGGACCGGCGCGCGCGGCTACGGGAGCTGGGGCGTCCCCGGGGGCAGCGGGGGAGGGGAGGCCGGGAGGGAGGGACGGCGGGGGAGCGGCACTCACGTAGACCGGTAGCGGCCACGGGTAGACGGCGGGCTCGGCCCCCACGGGCGACTTGAGCCTCAGCTCCAGCTTCTCCCCCATGTCCGCGCGCGCGGCCGCCGCACCATGCTAGGCGGGCGGTTGGGGGAGGGGCGGGGCCGCCGGTGGGCGGAGGAGGGCGGGCGGGAGGGAGGGGCGGGAGGCTGAGGAGAGGGGGCCTGGCCTCGGCCTCGGCCGCCGCCGCCGCCGCCGCCGCGCTCCGGTCCGGCCCCCGGCTCCCTCTTTGTGGTCACAGGCCCAGGGCCTCCAGCGCCGCCGCCATCTTGGGCCGGCGTGAGGCTAGCACAATGAGCCGGGGGCCGGGCGGAACCACTCGCCGCGCGCGCGAGGGGGGGCCTGGAGCGAAGAGGCCGGCGCGCGCCCGCCGCCCAACCGGCAGCCCCGCGCGCGCCACCCCCCCGGCGCCCCGCCCCGTGGACTCGCCCGCCCGCCCGAATCCACGCACGCACGCACGCACGCACGTACGTCCTCGGTTGCCCTCGGCCGTCCCCTCCCCCCACTCGCCGGCCCGAAGCGGAGACCCGGGGAGATCCTGTGGGCGGGCCAGTGTGGTGGAGAGTTCGAATCCCGTCCGAGGAGGAGGACGCCGAACACCTCCTCACACACTGCTTAGTAAAACCAAAAATCCTCATTTAGTGTAAGAGCCACGGTCCACGATCCGCTCTAACTCCAAGCCCAGGACTCATTCGACAACAATGCTGTTTATTGGGTTAAAAAAAAAAAAGAATGAATAAGATCTAGTATTTGGGCCAGGCGTGGTGGCTCAGGCCTATAATCCTAGAACTTTGGGAGGCCAAGGCGGGTGGATAGACTTGAGGTCAGGAGTTTGAGACCAGCCTGGCCAACATGGTAAAACCCTGTCTCTACTAAAAATACAAAAATTAGCCGGGCGTGGTGGTGGGCGCCTGTAATCCCAGCAACTCCAGCGGCTGAGGCAGGAGAATCACTTGAACCCGGGAGGCAGAGATTGCAATGAGTCAAGATTGAGCCACTGTACTCCAGCCTGGGTGACAGAGCGAGACTCCATCTCAAAACAAAACAAAACAAAAATAAATAAATAATGAAAATAGATTCCCCTGGTGGCCATAAGGACAGATTGGGAGATCGAAGGGGGCTGGGCATAAAGGAAGCAGCTGAGAGAAGAGTTGGGGTCATGCTTGAACCCATGAGGCGGCGGAGGTTGCAGCAAGCCGAGATGACACCATTGCACTCCAGTCTGGGCGACAGAGCGAGACTCTGTCACCAAAAAAATAAAACAACCTTGCACAGTGGCAGTATCGTATAGCCAATGAGGTTTTTTTTTTTTTTTTTTT